ATAATGATAGCGGTAATTGGTCTATAAAGATATTAACTATTTGTGTACATTTATTCTTAATCTACCTAATTATGAAGGTTTTACAACTAAATAAAAAAATAATATGTTTACTTATAGTGTCTACGAGTTCTGAAAGAAAATACTGCTGAAATATTTCGTATTCGTTTGATTTTTTATCAGTTGGTATGGTAACTAGGGTACCATACTAGAATGATTATTCCGACTGCCTGTCAGTTGGATAGTAGTCCTCTGAACTTTTCCATAAATCATGCTTATCTCAAGTTCCATCAGATGTGCATGAAAATGGTAAATCCTTCAGTGAATAAGTGGTATATCACGAAATTGATCCTAGTTATGTAGATATCATTTTTCAATCTTATTTTAAAAATATACGTTCTAGTGCTTTTGTTCATTTAATCTTATCATTCTGTAGGTTCATTTTATCATTTTAAAAAGTCTTCTAATTTCGCTTCATTCCCTTACGAGAAAAACTCAATCTATGGTTATAAAATACAATTGGACTGACTTATTAATTACAAGTGTATGTTCTCGAGCTTCGAACTACACTTGTTTTGTGAGAATGTAAGATAGTATTCGTCTGTTCCAACCGACGTAGGCGAAACGCTTGTAGAACTTGGGAATTAAGCTAGATGCTTCAGCCACCTAGCAGACGCTTTACTGCTTATGTAGTCAATCAACAACTTATTATTAGAAGTTTTGTTTAGATTTCCTTACATCCTTCTTGATGTAATACATATTACCAATTTGATTTTTGTGATGAATAGTTCAGCTTATCTTGATTTTTTTCTTTTAGTTGTCAGAGAAATGAAAGGAGCAAATCATATGCAACAAGTATCCACATCTGAGAAGCCTACAATTGCAATTATCACTAATTTGCTTTGTGAAAAATTAGCTGTAGATGCAATGATGGAACAGAAGACAACATTTGTTCGTTATAAATCTGAGGGTAATTACATGTATATTTATACACCCCAATATCTTTTCCTTTCTAATATTTTAGGTGAATCACATGTTTACACTATCGGGAACATAGGACCACATAAAGTCATTTCTACAAAACTACCTATGGTTGGACGTGAACTTCAAGCGAAAATTTCCTCTGGGAGTATTACAACTCGGCTCCTTGGTTAGTTCATAAAATATTTGTTTGTTCTCTCGGTAATATTTACTGGTTAACAAGATTACATGTTTATTCTAACTTTTTACTTGATAATATTTATAGCTCACGTTTTTGTTTTGAAGTGTTAAGGCTGTAGTATCCTGAGCTTTGGGACAATAGTTGTTCTTTATATAAGAGTGGATAACTACTTCAACGACATTTTCTCCATGGATAAAACGTTTGTAAACCCCCTTAACGGTTTTCTACGCTTTATCGTAGTCAGTGATCCTGTTCTAACCGTACAAATAACTAATGAAGTGACGTTCTATATCGTAGAGACAAGGTTGTATTTCTCCACGTGTTTATTCCTATTATAAAGGTGATTCATTAGTTTGTTTACATTCATTTTTCTAGTATGTGCTGTTATTCACGTAAATTATCCTCTCAATCTGCAGCCACAACTTTCTAATGCTGTTTGTTTAGTATTTCTTGAGGTGTTACAAACTATTTTGTAGACTTTCGTTATATACGGGTTATTATCCATTTCCTTGTGCATTGTAATTACTCCTATCTTTCCAAGACCTCTCCGTTTAAAATATCTGTTTAGATGATCATTCGTAAATTTAAATGAAATCAAGTGCTTTCAGTGTTGTCATACAGCTATCACAACTGATCACTTAACAAACATTGTCTATTTCATCAAATTTCAACTTAAGGAACTTCGCTGGCAGATTTTTTAACATAGGGAATGGTTACAAATGCAGAAACACGATAATATCAAGTTTACGAATATCCTTATCATTATTTAATTGGAATATAAGATCGTACATTAAGGCTAGAATCTTATGCAAGTGTTGTGAAACGGGATCGATACATCAGCACTGTTGAATTTCAGCAACCGTCTTTTAGTAAGACTCAGTCCATGCATTTTGAGTTTATTTATATTCCATTGAGGAGTAGGTGATAAAACTCTGATTTATTTTTAGTAACTATTAGTTAGCATTACACGTGTGCTCCGTTTAATACAAATTCATATAGTCTTTTGGTGTAATCGATTCCTCCGTAATATTTTATTGTTAAAATAAACACGACTTTCATTCTAGACCAGATAATTTCACTTTATAAACATGAGTTCTTTATCATTTATTTGCAAGCGAAAAGATTTTGCTATGTAATAACTGTCTCTCTTAATGATCAATATGCGTAAATACAGGTAATTGAGATAAAGGTACATTAACGGAAAACGATAATCATTACATGTGATTGTATCTTCTTACTGACAGTGTTTTTCATCTCTTAAATGTCTACACCCTACTATTATATCATAATGATTACTTAAACTCACCAGCTGTGTTTTGTGGTACTTTCGTATCATAAAACAGCTGTGTGGTTTATTAGAGATAAATCTTATATTCATCGCTGTTTATAGTTATTGGATATTGCTGAAAAATGTATTTCATCAAGTACACATGCTTTTTTATTCGTTAGGAGCATTCCAAGCGGTGCAACATGTGTTCCTAGTAGGGGTTGGAGGTAGTGTACCTCACGTGTATGAATTTGAAAAACATTCTCGCCTGGGTGATATTGTAGTGAGTGCTGTGGCACGTTCAAGTGGATTGCATTCTTCAGCTATGAACAATCATACAAATCATTCTGTATCGAATGATGTAGGAGACTCTATCTACATTTACTGTGATCGATTGATTGAACCTCCGGAAGATGCAGTTGATATGAAAACGCCAAGATTTGTTTTAAGAAAGTACGCTGCTCGAGATCCAACTTTAGTGAGCTGTGTAGAGAAAGTCCTTGATCGCTTCGAAGCAGCTCCGGAAAAATGTGAATGGGACCAGATTTTAAAGTCTGCTTTGACTACACTAGGTGGAGAGGATGATCCCATTGATTTTGCTCGACCATCGCCTGATACAGACAAACTAAAACTTAAAGTAAGTCCCAAAAGTGTATATTTTGAGCAGGTAATAATTCCTGATGTTCTGTTGATGCTCACTTTGTTGCTACTGTTTAAATCTCCTTTGAACTTGACAGATTTATGAATAATACTTCGAGATTATGCAAATTCACGGTGACAATATAGTGATGGAATCAGATTAATTAAAAAATAGTTAAATCATTACAATTACAAATCGCAATTCTTCTAATTAACATCCACTCACGTTCTTGTTTCAATTAACAGATAAGATCATTATTAGTCTGATCGATTAACTCGTGTCGCGTGACCACTCAGTTGGTTATTGATCACTTATATTTTGTTATTTTAATAATGTGATATACCTATAGATAGTTCTCATGAAAGAGACCTGATGCCACTATGCATTGTGCACGGATTACTTTTACAGGATTGTTATTAAACTAAGATATTGCGCTGAGTCAGATGTGTTTGTTTCTAGTTTGAATGCAATGTTTACCAAGATTAATTAATGAAAACTGATATACTAAACTTTAACGATCATGTTTTATACAGATCAACGAAGGTGTAACATTCGATATCAAGCATCCGGATGTGCCTGAAGAACTGGCGCGTTTCTACCCACCAGGCGTACCAGCCGTACGCCTTGGTTGTATGGGATCTGGCAGACCAGTTACAGATAATGACGCATTGATGAGTGACTTTGCTAAAGAACACCACCTACTATGTTATGATGCTGAATACGATCAAGTAAGTTTGTTACTGTTCCTCATTTTCTTTGTTGTAAGTTAGTCATATGGTACACATGTTAAGCTGTTCTTTCAGATGATTGTAGCAATGTCCAACTAACCTTGTGTTCTATATCTAATTTCAGGTTTTGGAGTCCGTCATGGGAAACGGCCTTGACTCGTTTATTCTTATTCGTGGAATAGCTGACTATATGGAAGGGAGACAAGGTACACAGTGGCAACCTTATGCAGCACTTGCAGCGGCATCTTTTATGAAGTCCATAATTCTACAACTGCCGCTGATTCCAATTAACGAAGACTAATGGAAAAGCTTACTATATCCTAGGAAGTTCTTATATGCTTGACATAAAAACTACGTTAATTCACCATACATCACCTCTTGTACAGTTCGATATCTCCCACAGATATCAGTATGATTGCAACATACATAACTTTCCATGCAACTTTATTTTTCTTCATCACACATGTAAACAACTGAAATAAATTGCCATGTATTGTATGATATAAATATATTTAGTATCACTATCATTTTGATTTTTAAGTTCTATTATGTGCTGAAGCCAACGTAACATTTTACAAGAAAAAAAGTAATTAATAATAAGCTTTTGTGGAGATAGTCATAGTAGGGTACTCGGGTTGTCAGGGCAGGAAGAGGGAGACAAATCATAAACTGTTTGAACATATTATTGGAAATTTAAATACATTTAATAATAAAGTATAACCAATCCTAACAGTAAAGAGACTTGGTGAGATTGATCATCTCTTCATTTCGTCTTATGTACTAAGTGTTACATGAAAATTGAAAACCATCGTATAAAATTAGGACCCAATAATACAAAGAAATGTAACTAGCTTGGATGTATTTCGCATGTGATTTTTGAAATTGTTTTATCGATTACATCTGAACTGTACATTAAAAGAAGCCGCATACTGTAAGAATCGCAGAAATAAATTACGATAATAACTGGAAAGACGGGTTGTGATTGTTCTCGAAATTACGGGGGAGGGGTAGTTAGTTGACCGGTTGTTAACATATACAGGGTTGTGTTGACGAGTTGATGTGATTGCTTATACAACTATCTCTGTATAGAAAAATACACGGTATGAACTTCTGATTTGTAGATCAAGCCTGAGAACGTATGGTGAAACTGTCAAATGCATATACTGATATGGCAGCTTCATGGGATTGAACGAGCTTTCTTGTAAATTAATATACAGGTGCTAAGATAAGGGAAATGAAAATACGTCTGTAATTTAAATTTTAAGATATATGGAATCCAAAATGACAGTGTATTCAAACAAAGTAAGCCACATGGCAGTGGATGTTGGTCAAGAAACCTCAGATGGTGATCATTAAATAAATCAGTTTACCATCACATTTAACATAACAATATAATATTGGTTCACACTAAGGTTTGCAGATCGACATAACGCTCGTTAATTTATGACGTAGATGGTTCACGAGCCTCGAGTAAACAAGTTCATAGAGTATTTAAATACACCTCACATAATCACGCAAATGATACGATATTTTGAGAAGTCTGAAATCAATCCTTAGATTCTATTCAATATCACATATAACAGACCATAAGAAATCCAGGCTTTTTTATTTATAAAGCAGTGGTATATAAGTACGGTCATGATAAGAAGGTGAATAATTGCCACATATATTATGAGTTGGGAGTTTTAGATTTCATATTAACCAAACTTTAGTACTGTAAACAGATTAACTATGGAATATGAAATCCTAATAATCTGTTAATGCGAATAAAATAAAAGAATACGACATCAGACAATACAACAGAAGATGGATGCAAGTGTATTGTCTCGATAATTTAATGCTAACTTTACATTCACAAGTAATTTTTTAGTTACTTAACATAATTTGAATTTAACCTTTCCATAAACAACTCCAATACACTTAACATCTAGACAACAAATAATGTACTTCATATCGACTTATTTTCTTATAATTTATGTCTATTATCGATTTACAGTGTGATATAATTATTCATCTACTCGACACAAAACGTGTTTTGACAGGTCTTTTTTCTTCAGGTTTTCTTCAAATTTAATAACTGTATCAAAGTTTGTTCTGAAAAACAATAGTTTGCGTGAATGCTTACCCGAAGCCACGACTGCTTTGGATTTATTAGGATGGGAGGAACTCTGCACGACTGTGTCGCCAGTCTGAAGGACGCTGTCCACTGGAGCTAGAGAACGATGTACTGCTACTTGAAGATCCGCCGGAGACTCCTGATGATCCAGAAACCCTCGCAGATGCACCAACAACAGCAGCATTGTCGATTCCGAGGTTGGCAGTTTCGATGTCGAAGGCGCGCAGAGCTTCGGCGTGGCGTTCCATCAGACGCCTTGTCTTTCTTCGTGACTCTTCCTTGGTTGACTCAGCATTTTTTTTCATCTAAAGTAGAGAAAAACTATGTGATAGGGTGGTTTGTGAAATAAAGCACATTTAAAAATGATGTATTATACTAGAACGATTTAGAATTTTCAAGAGATTCAGTGATGATATCCGCCCAGTTATCTTAAAAAATTAAGATGCTGATTTCAATTTGGCAATCATTAGTTCGCAGACTTTATGTACATTCTGTTTTTTATCGCAAATTGTTATCAGCTGGAGAAATAAGACAGGATATAATATTTGTTCCCAGTTTTCAAGTTTTTAGTAGCATGTTTCTTTGTCGTCATCATCATCCTGGACACCGAGCTACTACGAAGATATTACCATCTAGCTACTGTTTTATAATCGAATAGTATTTTCAAATTATTATCAGTTAGTGTTGCCACTGACAATACATAATATATAACCTGAGAAGCAAAACCTAAGATTAAAGAAATATTTACACGACAAAAATCATAATTAAAGAATATCAGGCAAATTCGATGTAAATAAGATCATTTTTGACAGAATTATCACTTCTAGATGAGATATAGCAATTCAAGATGCTACACAATGACCTTTGATAACACTTCAATGGACAAGTTGTGTGTCGTTGCAACACTTGCTTGGATTCCGTAACCTATAATAGGATTATGTATTCAATCACACTTCAGATGTAAGTTATATATGTAGTGTATTTGTTGCAATAAATTGCTTAGAACCTAGTAGGTAATTTTTAGTCTGCATGGGTCAGGAAATAGTAGGGGTATTTATCATTAGTTTCTTCCAAAAAGTTAAATAAGCCATTACAAAACCATATGACCATACTCTGTGAACGATTAATAAACGACAAAAATTAAATGAAGATATAGAAAGCAGAGTGCTTCGCAACAACTGAACGCGTATAAAATAGAAACTAGACAACGCACCGCAGCTTCCAGTGATTCTTTCCGGGCACGAATTCTATTCTCTAAATCCTCTCTTTGGCGTTGATGCTGTTTGAGCATATCACGCCGTTGTTTCTCTTGAAAATTAGAAAGAATTTTGACTCCTTCTAAACGACTTTCTTTAAATTCTTTATTCTCGCGAGCATGTGTTGTTTCAACTTTATCCTAGAGACGGTAGCAAATAGGTGATAAGGGAAATCATTTAAAGGTACAGCAAATAAAAAATAATACTGAAATGCTGTTAGGAAAGTCGTTTAAAACTATGGCTGAAAAACAGTTGTAATAATTCCCTATTCTGGCACTAAACTTATATTTTTATGACTTTTGTATATATGTAAAGCATTTTATCCGAATTTTTCAGCCTTTTAACCAATTCACTTTGAAGGACAGTAGCTAGAATAATGTTGTTATTTAGCACAGTCAGATATATTGTTTATAACAGGTGACTGCTTCGTTAGAAGTCTTATTAGGACTGAAAACAATTAACTTAAAATATTCAAGATACCCTTTGAGGTTATAGTTGATAAAACCGAATCATTTCAAATGACCTTTAGTATACCTTCGTCATTTCTAATGAGGTTTAATACCGTCTCCTACACATAACGGAAGCTATAGGGATCCGAACCTATAACCCCAGTTTATGTGTCCAGAAAAAATTCGTGACACCCTTGTCCCTGCCTTGGGTGGATGTGATTTGATAAACGATTTTTTTCACAGCCCGTATTTGTTTGTAATATTTCACCTCACCGTTTACACTTTTCAATACCTAATTATATACACACTTCTTATTACGTAATTCGTTTTGTGATTATTTTAAAGCCTATTTATCCAGGTTTGGCCTACTTCCTGTACTGAACCACAGCTTTTGTTATTTTATTATCCCTATCTCTGCTAGTACATGTGTTTTATTACTATCAATTTGTACCTTTAACCTATTATTTGTAGTTATGCAATCTATTTCATTATGATCATTAACTAATAAATTGCCTTGAATGGTTTAATGTTTTCATATGAATATCTATATATATTAGAGTAAAGCTTAGTGGCGATTTAGTTGAAAGCAATATTATTCACGTTTAGATGTTTTAATTAATTTTTAATGAGGTAAGGAATAGGATGAATTCAACACGAAATTCTGAGATCATTTGTATTTTCTGAAATTTTTATGAACTTCAGTATAGTATAAAAATAAACAAAATAGACGTATTATACTAATCATATCACTTATTTAGCATACACAACTAAGTACAATATGCATCTCATGTTACTGAATGGTTATTAATTTTGTAATTAACAGAACACTAAACAAGAATATCATGCGCTTATTAAAGGAAACAAGAGGAAGCGGAAGACAGCCTCCTTCCATGTATTAGTGCACGAAAGTATGTATTCCGACCTAGAGTTTATACGTTTTTGGAAAACATATGGTATCCAATGCAAAATTCTTAAAAGGCAACCAGGGAATAATAGGATCAAACATCATTTTTGTAAAACAAAATAAATTGTAATTATAGCCTTGGGGATATTTTTAAAAGCAGATATCTAAATACCCAAGACTTACAACAGCATTACAATCCAGTGATAAAAACACACATCAGTCTTCATTTTCTGCTAAGATGTATTGTGAACAATAAAAACATTACCCATTCAAATCAATGAAAGTATGTCGGCGTTTGTTTAGCACCAGCATACATTAGTGTTTGCATTTTTTAAGAAATGCATTGGCGTGTCACAAACACACTAAACTATATGATAATTAACTAAAATCATACAGTAACTTTAATGATTGATTTACATTATTGGAAGACAAGAGAGTGGACTTACATTTTGACGCTCATGTAGTTCACTAATACTTTTATTGTACTGTGCCTCTAAATCAGCCTGTTTACGTTTCTCCTCCAATTTAAGATTTTCCAAAATCTGGCGTTCATCTTGTAGATGTATAACAAATTGACCTTGAAGATCAACGGAATCTGAGCAATTATTAGGATTTGATGAAATTAATCCAGACGAAGGGCAGGATTCTGACGCTCCTGAAAAAGGAGAAGATCCTAACTCTGAAGTTCGACGTGCAGCCTTCAACGCTCTTCACGTAAAAGTTTGAATTGCTTTTTCTGAATCCGAGCAGCATCACGAAACTGTTTACGAATTTGTAATTCTTTTTGCTAAACAAAGAAATAATACCCAATAAAGCTAGCACACAACAATAGAAATAAATAGTCAAAAGAATCTTTGTCATCTTTTCTAGAATAATCACAGAAATATCCGGTACATCAAAACTTTGTTTAAAACCGTAGGCAAAATTTACAAATAAACAATACAAAAACACTGATGTATCAAATCTAGGTCATTAAGCTCATACTAACACAGGAAGATCGAGTTAGAAAGGACTCTAGATTTGAATAATTTCTCCCACGACAGATAAAAGCCATTTAGCTCAGACTAATAATCCAAGACTTAACTAACGGGTATCACGTATCGACCTGCCCTTTGTTATTTTCTGTACTCTTATGCCAGGTTACGTCACCTACGGTGAAGGCGAGATATCCGTCTATCAATTAAGAGACGAGTATACTGTGAAGCAGTTCGTTCTGTACTACTTTATGTCCGCAAAACGTGGCCAATTAAGGGTAGAGGATACTCGTAAGTTCAGTCAGTCAGTCTACAAAGTAGGACCAGGCACATATGTACATCGATCCGAGTTGTCATACCTCATTAGCACAACAAGATGAACACCAAATTCATAGAAGCAGTTACTTTAATGGTAGTAATATATAAAGGAAAGATTGTATATAAGGATATGATATAGGGAGAAAAAATTAGTTCGTCGAAAGAAAGTTATAGAGCAATTTTAATCTCAGTTTAAGGGAAGACAAAGAGTGTATATACCTACGCCATTGTGATCGATTCTGAGCCATGTCACCAACAGTCTCCAACCATTGGTTACGATAGTCACGCAGACCCCAACCAAGTGGTCTGTATCTACCAACATGGTTCAGACCAGAAGTTAGTGACTTTACAGACTGATGCTACGTTTTGGTTTGACCACCCCTAACTTTCCTCCAACTATCCCCTACACTAGTCAGCGTTGAGCGCCGTGGTAGTCGGTGGTTCGGCATGCGTAACACGTGGCCCATCTCAGTCGATGAAAATTCATAGCCTCATCAACTGATTTACCACCTTTCCCTAATAACCTGCGTCTATACTCGTAAGTTACGGATATTTATTATTTTATTTATTTATTTGAACACAAATATTGGTACAAGAGGGCACCAAATACATATGCGCCACACCATATTTGTGTGTGGGTTGTGATACTACCCGGGTGCCCAGACCGAAGTAGGTGGTTTTCTTAGGGGGCCACACCCCGCATCTGCTGGGATCACCGGGTAAGTAATCATGAGGTTAGACGCAGGGTATTTATTAACAAAGTGCAGGATAAAAGGGATTTTCCAACAAGTATTATGAAAAATGTCTGTAAATCAGATATCAGATATCACACGTATTTACAAACTAACCTTCAGATATTTTGGTAGATTCTTTGTTTCTTCACAATGTCTCTTTTGTAATCCAACCTCAATGCGCTTAAAATATTGATGCAGATTTTCCATTTCGGCTTCATGTTGACTTTGAAGCTGATTAATGCGTAGGTCTTGAATCCGTTTTAACTGGTTAATTTCTAAATTTTCGAGTTCTGTGTGCTGTCTGAGTAACAACGAAGTAATCTCTTCAGCTGCCTTCTGTTGTAGGCGTATATATTGTCGTAATTGTTCCATCTAGCGTAAGTACGAAGAAAGTGATATTAAGAAAAATAGATAAATAAGTTAGGACCAGGGATAAATATTGTACAATTCAAGTTTTCCCATTTCACACTAGTAAGCAGTGAAAGGAAGTTAACAAGAAAAAAAGCAAAGACGTAGAAATAATCATTAACAATCACGATTATACCAACAGTACAAGTAAATCAAAGGAGAAAAAGAAATCATAATTAACGAAAATAATTGTGTATGATGCTCAAGATGCTAATTCAAATTAACTTTTTTTGAACAGTATCAATAATGTATCCAACACAAAATCACAGTCTGGGCTGACGGGTAGTCACTACCACTGACAAAAAAAGATGTGACTACAGGTCGAGCGAAAAAAAATAAACTTGTTGACAAAGTCATATAGAAAAATCTCGTCAAGACGATTTGAATGGTCTGGATTTGACTAACCAGTTCAAATCAACAACGGACAATTCAGTCGGGTAGCACTGTCTTAAATTAGTTGTCCTTAGGCTTTTTATAATTTAATACTATACTAAGTCAGAATAACATTTCGGGTTAAGAGATGGCTGGGGATGTGTAGTAAATGTCTAAACCATCTCAGTCGATGAAAGGCTTATAAAAACGACGACTTCACCTAACTTTTAGGACAAATAATCCGCGTTTTCTAAACCCATTATAATCAATCAAGAAAATAAAAAAGGTAACTATCACCTTACCTCGATATCCTGTAATTGTGTGAGGAGAAGACGCTTTGTCTTACGCGTTTCCAATGTCGACACATCATGCCGTCGCTTCCGAATAGCCTCTAATGGGTTGGAATGTCCGCTGGAATCAGAGTCATGTGAACTAAAAGATCCAAGTGGAGATTTTTTGGCCGACTTTAGTTCACTTTTCGTTTCAGTTTCAAGTTGACGTGCTAATTTTGATTCAACTGACATCGCTCTTTTGCGCTCTTTTTCTATTTCAGCGGCATGGATTTCTTCTAATCTCATGAACTCTTTTCTCATTGCTAACTTTGTTGCTTCATAGTCACGATTCAGTCGTGATTTGAGTGATTCCTCCTCAACCTATAGAATGAAAAACAGCCCAAGACATTTGTATGTACCCCAAAAACGATTTCAATTATTTATCGCTGTTAATCAACCTGTACCTTAAGCTGTAAATTTCGAAGCAAACATGATATGGAGATGGGAAATTATATGTTAACAATATATTGGAATCGCAACAAAACAGCTCAAAATCAAAAACACACGACAACATTTGTGACAATAATAATAATAATAATAAAACATACACAAGACTCATTTCATAAGGATAAAACTACTAAGCATAAACTGACTATGAAATTCCAGTATTTCAAGCACCCTGAATCAGTTTGGTCTTTCATTAAAAACATTAATAATAATTTGTAAAAACAGTAGTTCAAACACACTTATGTATTTCAACATAAACTTATTATTATCTAGAAAAGCAATTCCTTAAAAAATACGGGTAACCAAAACTAACAGATGATTGTTTGTTTTAGTACAAACGAAGCAGGATAACTGAAAAATTCTCCAAGAAACTTAACTGTGACGGCTGAACTGATTTAAAATTCGCAGTTTTCGTTATCGTACAAAATAGATCAGTCACAAAACAAATATCAAGTGGACAATAAATAATATATTCGCACAAGTTAAAACACAAACCTTATTTTTATCTTCAACTTGTTTTAGGTGTTTATTATGTTGATTTCGAAGTCGTTTAAGTTCATTCATTTGATCACGCCAGTTAGCCATCCCTCTCCCATAACCCTGTTGCGTGAAGCCAAGAGCAACAGCAGCAGCTGAATTTGAAGCATCTGGTTCTAAAGACAGACCTCTCATCATCTGGGTAGTTTTTAGTGTTGCGAAATGGCCAACAGAAGTTGACGTGTCCGCTGGAGAGTTTATTTCAACAGAAGCTATACGAGAGGTTTCAGTGATCATACCCGAATCATTATGAGAAGTAGTCGAGAACCGACTGAAGCTTTCAGTTTCTCCTTTAATTAAATCTGACTTTGTCGGGGTAACAGAAGAAACCACAGTTTCAGAGATCGTGCCTTACCATAGGAAAAAAAGTAAACATTTAGAATTAGAAAATATCGATGAAATGTTTTTGCTGACACACTGTATTCTAATATACAATTACATCATAAAAATGTGAATTAATATGCAATTAACTGATGATCAAACGCATCAGGTAGAATAAAACTAATTTACAAAGACAACCGGTTTATTTAACAACGATTTATTTGTTTTTAAAAGGCTGCAGCCAGACAGCTTCCCAAATAATTGATAAAAAGCGAGTTGTACATTTGCTTACTTACTAAAATACACTGTGATACATCGTAGAGCAGTATAGACTGCCCAACAGCACTCTCCATCCAACACTATCCTGGACAATCCTTTCCAGGTTTTTCCAGTTGCTATTCATCCTTCTCGTTTCTGCTTCTTATTCCTGACGTAGCGTTTTTCCGGCCTTCCTCTTTTCCGTTCTCTTCAGGATTTCAAGTTAGCACTTGCTTCGTGATGCAGTTTGACGATTTCCGTAATGTATGTCCTATCCACCTCGAATGTCTTTTCCTAATTTCCTATTCAGATAGAAACTGATTTATTCTCTTCCACAGTAGGCTAGCGCTGATGGTATCCGGCCAAAGGACATTGAGTATATTGTGTAGACAATTATTTATCAATGCTTGTACATTTTCGATGATGGTTATGGTAGTTCTCCAAGTTTCACCTCCGTACAATAGAACTATCTCGACGTTCGTATTGAAGACTATGACTTTAATGTTGGTTGACAGATGTTTTGAGTTCAATATGTTCTTCAACTATAGGAATGCGGCCATTGTTTTGCCAATCCTTGCCTTTACGTCTGCACCAGATCCTCCTTGTTCATCGGTGATGCTGACCAGATACGTGAATGTTTCTATCTGTCCCAGGGCTTCTTCGTTAAGTGTGATTGGTTCGGTGTTTTCCGTGTTATGTTTGAGGACCTTGCTTTTTCTCTTGTGTATGCTGAGGCTGCTGCTACACTGGCTGCCTTGGTGTGAATTTGTTCGTGTGTACGGGGTCGAAGAACTAGGTCATCTGCGAAGTCCAAATCGTCTAGTTGCATCCAAGCTGTCCATTGTATTCCGTGATTTCCTGAGATGTCGAGGTCTTCATAGTCCAGCCAACTACCAGAAGAAATAAAGAGGCGGAGAGTAAGCAGCCTCGTATGACACCGGCCCTCACTTGTAATGCATCTGTGAGCTGTCCTCTATGCACGACTTTGCAATGTAGTTCGTCTTATCAATTCCGTATAATGTTGACTATCTTGTCAGATACACCATAGTGTCAAAGAAAGTTCCATAAGGTTCTTCTATCCATGCTGTCAAATGCTTTCTTATAGTCAAGGAAGTTGGTGCATAGTGACGAATTTCATTCAGTTGGTTGTTCAACGGTGATCCGTAGTGTGGCGATCTGGTCTGTGAACGACCTATCCTTACGGAATCCAGCCTGCTGATCCTAAAGTTGAGCGTCTACTGAGTCTTTCATCCGGTTCAGCAACACTGTTGAAGACGTTTCCTGGTACTGACAGTAGTGTGATGCCTCTGTAGTTCTCACACTTGCTCAGATCTCCTTTCTTTGGTATCTTGATGAGCAATCCTTATCCCCAGTCTGTCTGTGGCACTTGTTCCTCCTCCCAGCTATTCCTGAATAGGACGTGGAGCACTTTTTCAGTTACTTCTGTGTGTAACTTCATTGTTTCAGCTGGTACATTGTCAAATCCTCCTGCCTTCCCACTCTTGACTTGTCTGATGATCATCCTGATTTCTTCGTCGTTGGCGGAGTGTCATCTGTAAGAAGGTCTATATATGCTGCTTCGGTGTCTGTTCGATTCAGTGGGACTGGTCTATTTAAGAGTTCCTCGAAGTATTCTACCCATCTGTTCCTCTATTCTTGAATCTCGGTGATTGTTTTGCCTTCTTTGTCCTTGATCGGTCTCTCTGGTTTACTGTATTTCTCTGCTAGTTTCTTTGTTGTGTCATATAGTTGTCTCATATTTCCTTCTCTTGAAGCTTTTCCGCTGTCGTTGCTAGTTCTCCCAACTATTTCTGCTTGTCGACTCTAATGCTCCCCTTCACTTGCTTGTTTTCTTCTGTGTATTCAGCTTATGTTTTGACTTTCTCTGTTCTTGTTCGATTGTTGTTAATTGCTGTCTTCTTGTTCTTCTTCGATTCCTTTGCAATTGTTCGCCATCGTAGTTTCTTCTTTGAGCAGATCTTGTAAAGCTCGGAATCTTCTGTTGAGAGTTATCGTGAATTAGTTGAGTTTGTTAGTATATCAAAGGAAGTTTGTATTGAACCTTTGTACTGCTGTTTCCCCAGACGTCCGGTGTTTTTTTAGCTTCAGTTTCATCATGGCCACAAGCAGCTGATGATCTCAGCTCCCCTCCCCCCTGATTCTCACATCTCCCATTGTCCTTCTGAATTTTTTATTGTCACAAATATGATCTATCTGGTTCTCTGTGGTGTGGTCCGGTGAGACCCGTGTAGCATTGTGTATGCGTTTGTGTGGAAATATTGTGCCGCCTATAACCAATTTGTTGAATGCATACAGATTTGCAAACCTCTCATCATTTTCGTTCCTCTCTCTCAGTCCGTGTCGTCCCATGATATCGTCATATCCGGTGTTGTCCATTCCGATCTTGGAGTTTAAGTCTCTGATCAGGATGGTCAAGTCTTTTGCTGGATACTACGCTATAATTGATTGCAGCCTCTCATAGAACTGATTTTTATTGTCGTCACTGCTATCATTATTGGGTGCATAACGCTGGATAGCATTAATTATGATTCCCTTCTTTTTTGTTTTAAAGGATGCCTTGATGATCCCGAATCCGAGAGATTTCCATCCTATAAGTGAATTTTGCGCTTCTTTGGACAGCAACAGAGCGACTCCCTGTGTGTGGAGCATTTTTTTCTTCGTGACCAGAGTATAGCAACATCTCTCCCGTATCTAGCGTTTGCTGTCCAGCTTGGATCCAATGGATCACACTTATTTCGAGCACCGTCAAGTTGTATCTCATCACTTCCGTTGTTATTTGACTGGTCCAAACGTTCCATGTACCTATAAAAAATATTGCTGTGTTTGTTAGAAGGAGCATAGGCCTCGTGACTTCCGAACAATCTCGGCATTCATCAAGAGGCGTCATAATTCATCCTTCAACTCCCAGGGCAGAGGTCAAATGGTTTAATTTGATTAATGTGGTTGACATTTTTTTAGCAAGATTTCTTTCTACGGAACGGGGCTGCAGACCCCATGCCGAACTCTCCTTCTTTACCCGGGAATGGGACCAGCAGTAACTTTAGAAGTGGTGGTTAATAGGCATAAAAGAGGGAGAGCAGGGTCACCCGATTTCGTTTCAACTTGTTGGTTTTTCATCAGCTTCTTATTACCCATAGTGTTTCGAGATCGGATTATCAAGTAGCAAAATTGGCTAGAACTTAATGCGGAAACATATTAGGATGGTGTAGCGGTGATCTTAATGGAGTTTTAAAAAATCGAGTTCCACGATATATATATATAAACCAAAAGAATGTTGTAGATGCACATACATATGCATGTGCAAGTGCTCTGGAACCTGAAGAGTGGTGAATATCTAGCTAATACAACCCGAACCGGGTTGTGAATCTATCGACGTCTTAACAGTATGCTGTTACTGTGCTATTTATACGTCCGACGATCATAGATGCTAATGTTTCAGATATTACATCAATCACATTGATTTTTTTAACATTATCACAAGAGGAGTTTTGCTGTTTTTAACTGAGACGATAAGGAATCGGGAATAGTCGAATTGGGCCTCATTCAACTTTCAAGCCTTAAATAAATCGTATCCATTTTGACACTCCCGGTTTATCATCCTGAAAGAGCTCTGGGATCAAACTATCACTTCACCTCCGTCAGAATATACGGCATCGCCTTCGGATTTTACATTTATTTTTGAACTTCAAGATATCCCACCAATATATCTGGTGGGATTTCAATTAACAAACTATTCACGGCAAGACAGTCCGACTGGGTCTTTGATTTAGAGTATCCACCACGGCGCAATTCAAAGCAACATGACAGATCTGTCAACAACACACACAAATAACATAAGGTAAAGGAATAAAAAACGAGCCACATTCAATAAAACGTCATGTATATCATGAAACACTTTAAATTAACATTCATCAGTGAGTCAGAATAAGTAATTAAATCTTATCTCAGTTACCGCACACTTGTCAACCAAGTTCTCATTTCCAATTGTATTTACCTTTAGTTTCCACACAATGAATACTTTGATTATGGATAATATCAGATTATCCCACTTTTAGCAATCAGACTTATTAGCTAACAATAAAGATCTAATATTTGACTTACCGCGGTGCCCCAATTCATTGTTAGAATCAACTAAGATTGAATGATACACATGACTGTCGGTACTGGACTCCATATTAGCGTATAAATGACTGTTGATTTGGACAAGACGTGGATTTTGAGGATGTTGAATTATACTAGAATCCCCTTCGCTTAGTCTGTGTGAGCTCGATCGATTAGGCAGAGGTGAAGGTTGTGTTCCATTAAAATCGAATGAACCACCATGTCCACTATCCGGATCGAATGTGCGAGACTATTAAATGAAAAAATAATGGACAAACAAATAAGATAGTCCACGTAAACTAAATATTGCCTCACTCAAGATCACAACTCTCGTACATGCATTTCCCATTTCTTTAGGTTGATTGGTACGATATACTTTTCAGGACAATAATTGGTATCCAAAATGCATTCGGTGGTTCTAATAATGTGTGAGATATATGTCACTAATTTAATAGGGTGAAATTTACAGATTTAGAAGGGATATTGATAACAGTTAAGGATCCTGAATCACTGGTAATTAATATAAGACCACAGTTATCAAATGTTAATAAATACAGACTTAATATAAGTATATGACAGTAAAAATTTTCGAAAACTAGCTTTAAGTATGGGGTCTCTGAGTTAACTACTGACTAAATCGAATTTACACGTGCGAAGACCAGTGTAAACGTTGATCATTATCAGATAAGTTTGAATTATCCCGTTATAGATATTTTGACAGAATTTTGATCAGTCTTGGTTAGAGTATGTGGATTCTGAAAGGATTACCTGGATATAGCTATTTTTAAATATCCATTACTGCATAGATGAACTCATTAGCTAAGTGGACAACGCGTCCCGAATTTGAAGAGACAGATACCAGATTTGAGTCTCGGTGTGGAAATGAAAAAGAAGAAACTAGGATGGATGGAAAGGGATCAAAGAAGTAACAACTTCAATGTTTCCGCAACAAGCATCATCACAAGGAATAGATCTCCATAGAAACTCTGGACAATATTCAAGAAAGGAAGAACAAGAAGACAGCAATTAACAACAATCGAACAAGAACAGAGAAAGTCAAAACATAAGCTGAATACACAGAAGAAAACAAGCAAGTGAAGGGGAGCATTAGAGCCGACAAGCAGAAATAGTTGGGAGAACTAGCAACGACAGCGGAAAAGCTTCAAGAGAAGGAAATATGAGACAACTATATGACACAACAAAGAAACTAGCAGAGAAATACAGTAAACCAGAGAGACCGATCAAGGACAAAGAAGGCAAAACAATCACCGAGATTCAAGAATAGAGGAACAGATGGGTAGAATACTTCGAGGAACTCTTAAATAGACCAGTCCCACTGAATCGAACAGACACCGAAGCAGCATATATAGATCTTCTTACAGATGACACTCCGCCAACGACGAAGAAATCAGGATGATCATCAGACAAGTCAAGAGTGGGAAGGCAGGAGGATTTGACAATGTACCAGCTGAAACAATAAGTTACACACAGAAGTAACTGAAAAAGTGCTCCACGTCCTATTCAGGAATAGCTGGGAGGAGGAACAAGTGCCACAGACAGACTGGGGATAAGGATTGCTCATCAAGATACCAAAGAAAGGAGATCTGAGCAAGTGTGAGAAACTACAGAGGCATCACACTACTGTCAGTACCAGGAAACGTCTTCAACAGTGTTGCTGAACCGGATGAAAGACTCAGTAGACGCTCAACTTTAGGATCAGCAGGCTGGATTCAGTAAGGATCTGGTGCAGACGTAAAGGCAAGGATTGGCAAAACAATGGCCGCATTCCTATAGTTGAAGAACATATTGAACTCAAAACATCTGTCAACCAACATTAAAGTCATAGTCTTCAATACGAACGTCGAGATAGTTCTATTGTACGGAGGTGAAACTTGGAGAACTACCATAACCATCATCGAAAATGTACAAGCATTGATAAATAATTGTCTACACAATATACTCAATGTCCTTTGGCCGGATACCATCAGCGCTAGCCTACTGTGGAAGAGAATAAATCAGTTTCTATCTGAATAGGAAATTAGGAAAAGACATTCGAGGTGGATAGGACATACATTACGGAAATCGTCAAACTGCATCACGAAGCAAGTGCTAACTTGAAATCCTGAAGAGAAACGGAAAAGAGGAAGGCCGGAAAAACGCTACGTCAGGAATAAGAAGCAGAAACGAGAAGGATGAATAGCAACTGGAAAAACCTGGAAAGGATTGTCCAGGATAGTGTTGGATGGAGAGTGCTGTTGGGCAGTCTATACTGCTCTACGATGTGTAACAGATGTTAGGAGAATGTGAATATGAACATTGGGATGTAGGTATATCCAACTGTAAAGGCGAGAATAGTACGAAATGCACGTCCTGGATTTCTTTAATAGTTACAATCCATCTATTTAAGCTTATATTCTTAAAAGCATTCACATTAAGTTTGTAATTTATGAAAAATAGAAAAAATCATTGATTTAGAGCCGACTGTACACGTGCTTTAACTTCTCCAGACATCTGATCGTAATTTATCAGTAATTTGTCCGAACCTATTTTCTTAAGTATTAGTGAAATTTTTTATTATTGTACATAGGAAAACTGCAGTAGATAACTTGTTGGAATTACATAAATCTCTCTACAAATGGATGGAATGGGTTATTTATTTAATCACCTCGGCTAAACACTATTTGACAGTTTTATCACAGTTGAGTTCGAACATATGTTTGTAATATCGCAGTTAAAATTAAACATACCGGTGAGTTTTCATTGGAAATCCCAGATACAGAGTGTTTGGGGGGTATATACACATGTCTTTGACCAGGACTATTGCAGCTATCGGACAGATCACTGCTAGCGCTACCCACGCTGTTCGAACAACTATCACCCTAGACAGAGTAAAAAATTAATAAGTGAATACATTACATTACTATTCCCCCTCCATATAAAACTCTAAAGACATGAGTCGATAAAATTCGACCCCAAACTGTCTACTTTACTCATTTTGATGGATGACATTTCGGAAAATATGTAGGGGCGGTGCAGATCTCTTATTTGAAAAGATTTTATCATCTTACTGTGTGATTAAGTAGATGCTACTTAATTCACATTCACCTACTATCTAAAATGCTAGAAGTTTGAGCATGGACTCATGTGCGATAAGACGTGAAAATTAAGCGAGTGGTTCGTGCATCTGGGTAACTGTGTAAGTTATAGAGCTATAGACAAGATCAATAATCATATAGTAGTGAAAGCCACGGTAATTTATACAGATCTAGGGGGCTCACAACGCTAACGGGACTGTATTTTATTAAACCAAACACTATAACAAAGAGGAGTCAAAATATATATGCACCAGACGAAAATTTTTCATTAAATCTGTGTGTGGGCTGGGATACTATTCGGTGCCCGAATCGAAGCAGGTCGTTTTTTTAGGGGGCCACACCCCGAGTCTCTAACCCATAGGTCTAATCCACGAGGCAGTGGAGCAACGTTAGGAGATGCGATCACATGGTTACCGGTGACCAAGAATAGGTCCATGCGCCGTTTGTTCCCTCAGGATCCTGGAGTCCATGTGCACCATTAGTTTAGAATAAGGATTTTCCAACTCCCCTAGGTGAACTCTGTACACGTCGGACATATGCTTTGTGTTCCCTTAATTTCATAAACAACCAGCCCACCGCGAGAAGGCATTAAGTAGAACTTCCTCGAGTAGTGGCTATGTACACGCAGCTATATAAAAGCATATCGAGCGAGCGCTCTCTTTACCCTTGGCCATACCATGAGATTTGGGGCCGTAAAAGGTATAGTGCATAACTCTGTGATTAGTATCTTTGTTCTACATCTTCCCACTTCTCCAAGCCGAGAAAGTCCGATCACTATTGTACCCGAAGAGTTGCTTCCACTGCACAGAGACATTGTGCAGGTAATACTGAGGTAGAGCGAAATTCGTCACCTTATGAAAAAACAGCATTTTAAGAACAACATCTGAATCCTACATTTCACCAAGACAATTAATCACTTTCTGAAAATTTCATACTGATGAAAAACCACGAAATATGATGAATTCATATCATTCTTCCTCAATGATTGCTTTGGCTTTATTCATTATTAACTACCTCGAATGATTATTCTCCACCACCATTTTATAAATGCTTAACGGTACCCAGTTGTATCCTGACTCAATACACAGTAATTTTCGAGAACTTTGCGTATTACAGAAATCACTACATAATGTCAACCATGGAATTCAGAAAATCTCCATGAACCCCTATGGTAATAAAACGAATTACAAAAGTATGTCGTACACAATAAAAGTAACTTACTACAAGATATTCGACATCATCGTTTATCGAACTACTGTCATGACTGGTTTCCTCATCAATACATTTGTTAGAATCACGCTGCTGAGTTTGAAGAGATGCCTTTCGTAAATCGTGCCTTCGCAAACTGCGCTCAGACCCACCAATGTTTGATCCTTCGTGCGACTGCCTTAATATTCCAGAGACGAGGTTTGGTTTGTACGAATTTCTTGCAGAAGCCTCTAGGTCTGCATTCGAATCATCATATACAAACCCAGTTTTCCTCGACGTTGGGCTCTCCTCACTGTTGTTAGGTACGACCGAAGATGGAGAGTGATTTAAATCACTTTCATAGAGAATTTTTTTCCATTTTTGACTAATTTGATTTTCTTGGGCAGCTACAGCTGCTTTGGTTCGCTGAATTAACTCTGGAAGAATATGGGAAAAACGAAACACACTAGCCAAGAAGGGGTGTGTCATGGCTTGAGAACAAAACGGTCTTTCATTCATCTACAAAATAAAATAAGACACTTCGATTATTTTGACATCGAATATTACTAATGTGAGTTGAATGATAACGGTTATTTATTACCACCAGTTTCTACCAAAATTTTAACCATATGGAGAAAATAATGATCGGTTGGAGATCAAACTATAGCTGTCATCAGAATAAAACTGAACAAAACCTAATTATGTGAATTGTATAAAACCAGAGAAGTATAGAAAATCAGTAAAAACGTAAACAACATGATGTTAAGAAACGGAATCGACGCTCGGATTTTAGTCATTTTACGCTTTGAATCTGAGTATAAAGAGGATTCGGCAACGTATTAACACAAATTTAATTAAATGCCCTTCATTGAGTTCGTTTTCCAAGATTATTAGTGAAAAGATAAAAAATAGTACTCAAAATAAGTTTGACAGTTTCCTAAAGACAAATCCTTAGAAACGACCATCTAGGACACGACCTCAAATATAAATGTTTTAGAAAGTATATTTGTTTTTTTAAAGAAAATTCCCCCAACTTGTATTGTCGATTTTCACATACTAAGTTTTTAGAACCTAACTCCATAATATCTTGGTGATATCTTCAATACAGTAGCGCAACAAACACTGTGAATATTCATACTTAATAAACATGGAGCGGAAATAAACTAGAAAGTGCGATTTTTTGTATTACAATAACGGCAATATGGTAACAATTTGTGCTCTAACGACTGATCTGAAGTGTGTGGGATATTGAGCATTGCTCATGAAATATGAAAGTATAGTTTTGATGGCGAGACTATAATTTACAGACGAACCAACCAGATATAAGATGACAGATCTCGGATTTTGGCGCGAAATTCACTCATCCATTTGGCTAAATAGAGTTTTGGAATTATAACTTTCAGTTCGTGATGAAAACCCTAAATCTAATTCTTAATCTTAACCACCGACTGTAAATTATAATCCTAATTTCTCACACTGGTTTATAACCTTCATTTGGTCCTAATTATTAGGCGGACACTATCAAGGTCACTTGAGCGTCGCCCGAAGGTCGTCGATAAACTAGTCTCACCATTTTAACTAGTAAGATTTATGAAACCAAATAGAAGAGAGGGACTCTTTTACACATAACGATATCAATACGAAGGAATAAGACAAGATTGCAGGACCTACATCTTTTTGGAGAACGAACCGTACAAAATCCCGAAATTCATCGGACCAGTTACCTCCCACCAGTCGTGGGGCATCATTTGAAGCGATTTGATATAGTGCAGCCATCGATTGGTAGCGCTGAAGTAAGGAGGTTCCAACTCAGCTAAGAACAAAGTAAGATTGGGGATATGGAATAGAAACTAAAATAAGACATGAGTCATAAAATATCTAGGACCCCACATTATCTGACTAAATTTGCCAGAAATAGGGTTAGTAAAACAATCCACATTTGAAAACCTTAAACAACTCGGGAAGTGAAATTATAACCAACATTTGAAAGACCCTACTTCAATAGTGCAATCATGATTTTAACTGGAACTAAACCTACTTCCATTAGTAATAAAAGTCAATCATTTGCAACGTAGGACTTAGTATATATATATGAATTGGTTTAAGCTGACAACACAACGCAACAAGATGAAATTATTAAAAACAAACAGGAGACTAGAGCTAGTAACAGTATCAGTGGGTGAGGAAAGAATTCAAGATGGATTCGCATAATAAAAGGTAGGAACAGATTTTAAAACTAAAGATCTAAATGGAGAAAGAGAAAATATATGTGTTATTGACAGACACATATCACACATCTCCAACCATTATTCACTGTAGTCACGCGGATCCCCACCAAGTAGTTTGCACTTACCTACAGAAATAAGTTCAACTGTCAGTGACTTCACCTATATTGGAGGTGATGGGAGCTGGCGAAACCCAGCCGATCATCCTAAATTCGTGCTGAGATTTCCTCTGAAACCGACCCCACCACGGCTGATTATACTTTTGAGGTAAGTGAAGTGGTCGATGTAACCAACTACTTTACTTTTAATCACTAATCAATGCACAAACGAATCCTGAAAAATTTTGCATATGAACGAGAAACGCATCTCAGACGCGTTTATATTGTTAAGGCGATCAAAAGACTGAATGTTTTCAATATATTCACAAAATAGAATCGTCATCTGTGTTCCAAGTCAATTAGTGGAACTCATAACGGGTTAGATAACTATGACAAAGGAAAAAATGGGGAGATGAACAACCTTGATGAAAACAATTGGTTATCAACTCTGACGAAAATTTGCCATAAGCTCAACTCGACCGGAAATGTTGGGCCAGAGAGCCTTCACAGGTAAAAATAACAAGTCTAACACCCACTACTATATACTGGTAGCCACATTATTTAAACTTACATCTTGACTGGAGTTACAGGAAAGGGAAGCATACAATGTCAACAGAAAGATCGAACAATGGAATATTTGTTCAGAAGTGTTAAATGTTATCCGATCCACTCGGACGGACAAAATGTTGTCAGTGGAAAATTCTGTATAAATCACAGTAAAACTTTATGTCAACCGTGCTGGCTTTGTTACGTGAGTCAAATAAAATATGTATAACATGGTCATATAAAGTAAAAACGACAGAAAGTAAAGTATGGGTGTAACTAACTACATTGAGTGGCAGCGCAATAAAATAAAAAACAAAAATAACAGGCAGACCCCTACGACAAAAGTAAAACAGGGCAAAGATATGATAATGGTTACATTCTGATATCCCAGATAGCTGATCATAACTGCCAATTCAGTTCGACAGTGAGGTATTTTCGTCATGACTACCCGGTTGAACCTCGTCTTCTGAAGTCCACGGGTACCATTATGTCGTAAAGATCAGTGGGGGTATCATAAAAGCAGCAAACTTTAGACCTGAGTGAATACAAATTACTGATTGTGATAGGGTGGTAAGGTAATTAGCACACATCCGGTATAGCTATCTTTTAAAAGACAGGGGCCGAGGTTGCAGACCATTGATCCTAAAAATAAAACGAATAAGTTCTCCAAGGATTCTCACAGAGAAGTTAGAAAACTACTGCGTTAATAGTACTAAAGTGTAAATGTTAGAAAGTTTCACAGACGGTTACTGCTTGATGACTGACCATACTAATAAGTCGGAAAGACCGGCAACGTTAATCCAGCCTACTGTTCGGGTTTTAAGTTTGTAGATGAATATTGCACTTCTGTTCTGTCTGACAAGTAGGGCTCGTTTAGTTTTTAGAACAAAATTTAATAATAATGTAGATACATGAAGATAGTATGACTGCGCCCCAGGTATTTAATCCGACGGATTGGAAAACAGGAATGTTAATGGGCCACCTTAAATAAACGAGTGGTATAAAAGTTGAGTAAATGACTTAGTAGTTGGGTCGTATAACAATAGGTTACAATATTGTACGGTCGCTAGAACGCATTAAATTTTATGGTGAGCATTAAAACTAACCCATTTCAATACAAGTAATTCCTAAAGACCAAACGTCCACTCGTACGTCATATATGCCTTGTTCCATAGCTAGAATGACTTCAGGAGCAATCCAAAATGGTGTTCCCACGAAACTATTGGCCGGACTCACAAAACTAGCTGATCCGAAATCACCAATCTTTACGCCGCCAGAGTCCGTAAGTAAAATATTAGCTGCTTTGATGTCTCGATGAATTCTTTTCTCAGAATGCAGGTAGTCAAGACCAGTTAGTACTTCCTGGACGATACAGGCGATTTCATCTTCACGAAGTGGTTTTTTGTGTACTATCAGCAATTTTTGATCTAAGGTTATACAACTTACCTTCTAAAACATCTGCGACTGAGCCAATGCAGTATTCCATGACTAACTTTAAAAGGAAAATGTAGTAGCATATAGTACGCGTACCCATGGAGTTTGCTCTTTCATGAAGCATCCTTTAGGCAATACACAGTTTTGTGTGCAAGGTGAGAAAGAAATTTTATCTCTCTAACGATGTCATTCCACTCTTCTTCTGACTTTTTACGTTTAGTGTCAACCTTTAGTTCTTTGATAGCTACGACTTCACTTGTTGTACGATTCCGAGCCTATAACAATTAGGAGTGGAAAATACGCTTACATAGTAAACTGCTCCAAAGCTGCCGCAACCAATTTGGCGAAAGTCAGTAAATACAGTCGTTGGATTTTCATGACTGAAATATTTTGACAGCTCAGGGTCTTTAAAAACCGTTGTTCTGAGAGACTTAGGCATCGAGTTCTCATTCGTTGCGAAAGTGGCAGTATTCTTGCCTGATATCAGCCAAACTTCAGACCTTTAGTAACCCACCTTGTTGATGGATGAAAGGAAAAACAAGCACAAAGTTTATACTAATATAAGAACCATAATGATTATTAAGATCCAGTTGGTTTAGATGGACGTGTTTGGCGGGCGAATGAACAGACATTAGGGCTGAGGTTTGATGTCACAAAACACAGAAATGGAATGTTACTAATATACGAACTTGGATGTTCATTTTATACACATATTTTTAAGAAGTCTCGTCCTTTCATTGCCTCATACTTCAGCCATTCTCCAACTTTGATCAGAAGCGGAGGCTACTCAAGCCTGTTGTTAAAACTAAGTCGATTGACCTCCTTTCCCTAATACTGAAGACTAGACAGGTCGTTCCCCTTAGGGAACTTATGCACAAATACTCGTAGTTCAGAAGATAAATTATATCAACCAATAGTACTATTGGACGAATTAAAGCCAATCATCGTAGCTGTGATCAAAATTTAGTTATTCCATGACTTTGACGTCACTCCAGAACTAACCAGGCACAGTTGCTTAAGAAGTGATAAAATGGATGTAGGAAACGGTTTTGGCACTAATATACAAAGCTAATAGCAAAAAACTATTTCTTTATTTGTGAATCTCATGATAGTGGGACCTGAGAAGTTGTTAGTTGTAAACTAACTTTTGAAGGTTATGCATTTATGCACGGTGTCATCGACCGTGACCTAGTCCGCTAAATCCATGATTTCGTTTCAGAGCATATTCAGATATGAAGTAAAAGTAAAATGTATCTGATATGTCCACCACAGGGCCTAAAAATCCCTCCGATAAAGGACCCCTGATGACTATGATGTAGCATGTTTTGGAACAGCATGTATCCGAACCCGTGTTTCATTTATACAACAGTGAGTATTACTTTCCGAAGTGAACCTGAGCGCTGACTTGGAGTACCGGAACTGCGTCACCTTAAAAAAGACACTTCTGATCTAGTTGCGGTCCATCCTGCTTTACTAGGGGAAGCAGCTTCAATCCTGGCAACACTGCTTAGTGTGGTGTTTTTACACTAGCTAAGCCGATGTACATTATCGAAATTTGGAAGCAGGCTCACATCACACCAATTTTCGAAGGAGGTCAACGCAGCGAACCTTCAAGCTAACGACTGGTGGCACCTCTCTCCATACCCTCAAAAATTATGGAGTCCCTGATATGCGACTGTATACACGACCATTTATTAACCTTAAACTTCTTTTCACCCCTACAGCATGGTTTCAAGAAGGGTCATTCTTGTATAGCCAACCTTCTGACTGCGGTGGACTGATGTACAACCATCCTTGATTGCAAGGGGAAGGTTGACACCATTTACCTTGCCCCCAAGTGCCCTAGTACGGCCAAGAGTGAGGATGGGCCTGCCCCCCTCTCGAAATGCTCTCACACGGCTACGTGTATACAGCCTCTGCCGGCAAGTCCTACTCTTTGCCTTCTCGCGGCCGGGGGTGTTGTTTACGGAATTAAGAGGACGAAAAGCGAATGTCCTGTGCTTTAACCGGGACAGTGGACACGGTGGGTCCAACTAGGGTTGTTGGGAAACCCTGATTCCAATGGTGCACATGGGCTTTAGTATTCTGAGGGGACAAATGACGTATGAACCAATTGTTGGTTACCGGCTACCATGGGACTGCATCCCCTCACGATGCTCCACTGCCCTGTGGATCGGACCTTTCGGTCATAGGCTCGGAGTGTGGCCCCCTAAGAAAACTATCTGCTTCGGTCTGGACACCCAAGCAGTATCACAGCCCTCACACAATTAAAATGAAATGACAATGATTATTGAATGTACTACTCGCACTCATATTACAATTAGCTAACCCGTACCCATTCGATATCATCCACTCTTATTTTTATTTATTTGTACTACGTCGCTTATCCACCCTCTTTCATTCAAACCTTGCGTATCCTTACTTTTTAATCTATACAGCAGCTCGCTTATGGTGGGAATTCTGTTCTATCTAAACGATCTCGAGTCAAAATTGAGTGCTTCCACCGAATACGAATTATGAAACCGGTTTACTGAAACCACATGCACCAATCAAACTGGCTGCCTTCAACGGTCTCACTGTAATGCAGATCGGGCGAAAAATAGAGCTGACTATGTCCTTAGAAGGTCTTAATATAGACGTCTGTTATCTATCCGAGACCCATATTCAACACCCCAGTGAAATACTACAAATTCTCTCTCCATCCGTCGCCTCGAAATTCTTGGTTTAAGTGCGTTTATCCTGAACCCTATGTCATCTTAGTCTGGTCCTGCTGGCGTTGGTGTCGCACTAAGCACTAGAGCTGAGGCAGCACTAATCGATTGGATCCCCATTAACAGTCGGTTATGTGCTGTTAGATTGGAGAGTTCCACCAAAGTGAATTTTACCACCAGTTATCTGTTCTTCCCCAGAAAGAGGGTTCGACAGATATTGTAGTACTAGCTGGTGACTTGAATGCTCAGGTCGGGCGTCTAGGCACAGAGGAGGGTCGTTTAGGTAGCCTATGGGGACTTGTTGATCGCAGAACAGATAACGAGGACCGTCTACTGCAACTATGCACAGACCACAACCTGTTTCTGGCTAGCACTAACTTTCGGCACACTCATCGCCGATGTGCCACCTGGCGTCCTCCCTCTGCATCTCAGGCCTGCACCCAGATTGATCACATCGCGATCAGCTACCGCTGGCGTGGTTGTGTACAAGACTGCCGCTCCTTTTGGAGTACCTATCTGGACTCTGATCATGCCCTGGTCTGCGCCAATCTTACCTTACTTTTCAGTGGCCAACGAAGTGACCGCCACCAAAGGATCGATGTCAGCAAGTTGGTTGCAACTCCTGTTGGAGTAAGTATCGAATCGAGCTAGCTTCTAGGCTAGCTGCCATTCCACCGAAAAGTATAGATGAGCATTGGTTGCAATTGCATGACGCCATGAAAATGGCGGGTACAGTCAGTTGTGGGTTCGCGAAACGTCCCGCTTTTAAGCACTGGGTTTCTTCTGGTTCCTCACAACCCATCGAAGCCCGTCGGTCTACTCCGGGTGACCGTGAGTTTGACCACAAACGAAGGATGTTACGTAAGGAAATTGGGCAAAGCTTGTGTAAGGACCAAGAAGCCTGGTGGTCGGAGCAAGCTAATGAGCTGGAAGCAGCAGCTGTATCTGGTAATTACCGGAAGCTCTTCCAACTCATCCGAGACACTGGCAGCAAGAAGTCTGGTGTGAGCGAAACAATCTGCGAGGATGATGGAATGTCAATCACTAACATCCATCAACGTCTTGGACGATGGGCAGAATTTATAGAAGGGCAGTTCAACTGACCTGCTGCTCCGGCAACATCCATCAGACTGACCTGCCCTCCATGGCCGATGACGACTGATCTACCAAGTTGTTAGGTTTGGTTAACCTTGAGGATACTACTGATTCGACTTATTCGGAACGGAACGAAGGCTCAGGATTCAGAGACTCAATAGACTATTCTGGTCCGTTGTCTTCGACTCAGCTAACTCGATCAAGAAGTCTTGGTAAGGCGTAGAAAGTGTATTCTACAAGCAACAGCAGATACCAAGTCAGGCAGGCAGATCAGATCAAGCATACAAGTCAAGCGTATTTATACAAATATATATCGATTTTGTCATAGGAAGTTTTAAACAATAATCAATGAGTCATCAATTGTATGCTATTTAAAAATTCAATCGATAAGTTCATCAACTGACTGCCATTCAAATATTTAAACATAAAAAAAAAAAATTAATCGATATGACAAAATTACAAATATGAGCTTTGGGGATATGTCGTCCCCAACACTCCTCCCCTTTTTAATAGCGTACTTTTCTGGGGTCGACTTGCATTTTGACTGTAGTTCGCCGCTGACGGAGAGGCCACCTTCTGGGACGGGGCTCAGCTTGTTGTTGAGCTTCTTCTCGTGGTGGGGCTGGTGGTAAGTTGAAGGTATCAAGCATGATGTCGAGGGGAAGATTTTCTCCTTTTGATGGGCGGTCTGAGGCTATCCGCTTCCGTAGTTGATTTCGGTGTCTAGTCCACGTGTCTCTTCCCACCTTTACCTCGTACATAACTTGGCCTAGTCTTCCGACCACACGTGCTTCGATCCAAGGACCATGATTTGCTCTGTAGTCTCGAGCAAACACCGGGCATCCGACCTCGTAGGCTGGAAGCTTCTGAGATTTGGTCTGAGATGGTGGTGGTGTGGTTCTTGGGCACATCAGACTATGGATCGTCCTCAATTTCCTTCCCATCAGGATCTCTGCCCGGGACTTCTGCTGTGGTAGCATATCACTAGGTGTTGTTCGGTAAACAAACAAGAAATTCTGCAGTGTTTCTACTGGCGTCCCCTCCCCTTTCGACTTCATTAGAGCTCTCTTGAATGTATCCACAAATCTTTCTGCCTGGCCATTTGACTGTGGGTGGTAAGGTGGAGAGCGGAAATGCTTGATCGATAGGCGTTTGCAAAATTCTTGAAATTGACTTGAGGTGAATTGCGAACCATTGTCGGAAACGATTATATCCGGTAATCCATTGCGAGAGAACATCTCTGTCAAAAGTTGCATCGTTTGGGTTGTCGTTGGTGGCGTGACGGGAACAATTTCTGGCCATTTCGAAAAG